TAGTTCAAAGCACGAATTTTTCAATTAAATATTTACTCGTCATATGAAACTTTTGTCCATTCCGGTTTATACAATATGTTTTTTGTGGAAGCCCGCTCTGATAGAAGCTTTTTTCCCAAAAAGTTCCATTTTCGTTATCAATCTGAATTTTGAGGCGGCCATTGTGGCTCTTTTCCTGCTAGCATCCTTTGTTTTTTTTTCCAGATTCCAGTGAAGGAAAGTCCGTTTTACAATAACTATTGATGTAATCTGCAAAAAAAGGTCAGCATGAATTAGTGAGCAGATTTTTACATTTGTCACATGCAAATTGCAATGTGAACTATTTTTAAACAACTTGATTTTGTAATTTTACGAGGGGGTGGGGAAAGTGGAAAAAAGCCCCCGAGACTATTTTACCGGCAGTTTAGCTGTTTTCGAGGATCGTTCGCTCAAAATTTTGCTCCACCTATGGATTATATTTAGTTCATTACAGTTCACCTAAGATTCACATGATTACCAATTTTTCATGCTCCTCATGAAAGTTAAAATGTTCAATCCAATCTATTTTACCCATGCAACGGTTTCCAACTATTGCTCTCTACATCTGGATCGTCACAGCTCACAGCTTCTTTTACGACTTTTAAGTCCCACCCGACCAATGGTTCCCTTCTAAATCCTTACCAATGATTATTTTATGCAATATCGCTCATCCAGTTAATAATTTGTTCACAATTCACTTCTACGCCTGAAAAAAAATTTTGGCTCATGGCTTAAAAAATTCGCTTGAAAAAACTTTCTTTACGCTTGAAAAAATTGAAGTTTTAACAGTTTTTGTACGCAGAAAAATTGACTTTGAGATAAGTGGAAACTTCAGAAAATTTTTAAAATTTCCGAAGCTAATATGGTAGTTTTTGGCCGGTGTAATGTTCCGACTTCATCAAGAACTATGTTTTGCTGATTCCGACCCATTAAGTGAGAAACATTGAATCAAATTTCTCACAATTTATACGCGATATATGTTTCGAAAATATTTTTTTATGCTTGAAAGACTTCCTTGTCTCATTATGAGAAACACCAATAAGATCATTGGCCCATGTGAACAATCTCCTCCCTGAATAGACCAATTAAAAATATCCCCCAAAACTAAATGGTGAATTCATGCACTATGCTCAAATCTGATTGGCTGATTAATATTACTTTAAGCCATGTGAACGGTCTAATTTGAGTTCGGAGGATGATTGTTCACTTGGTCCGATCAGTCAAGTTAACTAAATTTTGAATGCTTTTTTTTACTGACTGTTTGGACCAAACCGACAGAAAATTGGGATTTTGAGCATCTACACTCAACACCATTAGTTTGATCCTGATTTTTCACAGGCCCTTTTTTAACATTTTAAATTATTACTTTTTCAATAAACTACCCAGTTAAGAGGTGCCAACGGTGTCTCAAGATGAATTGTAAAAAAGAACTTCAAGCCGAAAAACTCTTTAAAAGTCACCAGTTTTATATAAACTGAATGTTACATTTGTCACGTTACTTTCTGAACACTTTTCAGCCGTTTAAACTTACTGATGCAATGACAAAAAAGGCGTTTCTTGTGTGGCTATATTTATCATCTATTTTAAACATGTAATTTAACGATGAAAGTTACATAACGTACAAAATAGTTTGAATTTTAGACATTTTGAATATAAAAGCTTAACGACATCGTGCGTATTGAGTAAATTAACTCATTTTGCCTCATAAACTTTTTGAAAAATAATCATTTTTTTTTTCTGCTCAATTTACCAAAATTTGCTTAGCGTAGCTATTGTTCTTAAATTTTGATTTTGTTGGGTTTACTCCTCTGGAAACCGCGTTTCAGAAAAATCATGTTAAGCCGAATTGCATATTTCAAGATATCACGAGGTCCTCATTTGTCCTTTTAGCGTTGAAAATTTTATTATTAAATGTTTTTGAAAATTCTCTGAAGACTAAGGTTAATATTTTTACGATTCTTTTTGAGAAATGATCTATAAAGCCTTATTTTCAACTGAATTTGGGTCTATTCCAATTCCCCCTTCACATTTCAAATTTTCTATAATTCTTGTTGCTTTACGTTTAATAATAACTAAACGGCTAATTTCCTTGCATTATGACAATGTTCAGATCGTTTTTCAGACTTCAGTTTCAAATGTGTGGGAGAGGAAAAGAGCAGTGAATTTAACCAGGTGAGGGAGGATGTAGGATTTTCTCGAGGGATCAGATTTTCATTTTTTTATTTTGAAAATTTTGTCAACCTTTTTTAGGTCGACCAATTTGATTTTCGGAGATCTCCCATTTAACAAAAAATACCCCTTTTTGATTAAATCTTCCGTGACTAGTTTCCCATTTTGCCCAACAAAACCCCCACCCACCCCCTACCACCACCTCTCACAATTAGCATACTTTAGAAAACTTTCAAGCTCGGTCAGCAGAAAACGGGTGTTATAAAATAGAACCAAAAAGGGACCGAATCACTGAGAGGAGAGTTGTTTTCCGCCAACCCGCCCCTTTTCCCTAAACCCCCTACGATCAATTTTTGTAGGCGCTTCCTTCACCCTCTCCAAAGTAACATTAATACAAACTTAATACAAATGGCTGCCCAAAATGGTTTCAAATGAACAGCCGCCTGCACAATCGATTGCTGAAAACAAAGCACCTCTGTCCACCTCTTGTAGTTTACAAAAATGATGCTGACCAAACTGGTGCTGAAAAAAAAGCACCCTATAGTTTGCAGTTTCTTCTTTCACAAGACTAACACCTGTAGCGGGAGTTGATAATTGGACAATGGGTTAAAATTAGTTCTCTGGTGTGGCGTTTAAAAACAATTAGATCTATGATACCTTGCCAAGTAATCTCTTCATTATTCCATGCTCAAATTTCTGTTTCCCTGTGAAAAGACGACTGAATGCGATTTTTCGTATTACCGACGGGAAAAAATGCAAATCCGATAACACCGTAATTTTTTCTATTTTACACTTTTCTTATCTTTCATAAAAATTTTGTTGTCTCGTTTCACCAATTTTTCACCGAAAAAAAACCCTAAAATGAAACAAATTTTAGAAAGTAACATTGCTGATAGTTAGCTAGTTATTTAAATTGTTTCAATAAAATTAGTTGTTTTTAAATAAAGGGTCGATTGGGCGTTTATATTTTATCTGATTTGAGATTCCACAAAAATACAAAAATAGTAAAAAGAAACAGCTCCAATTGAATCAAAATTCAATATACCACTCCGCAAGGCTTTGTATCGGCGCTTACTGTCGATTCTAATTGGCTCTACAAATTTTTGCGTTTTCTCTGGTGCATTTTGCTACCTTTTTCACAAAACTGCTGTGAGTTTTAAAGTCAGACTAAAACAAATCCAGCCTTTTTTCATTTTCGAGTCCTTTTTTTTCAGCAACTCAACTACTCAATTTTTATTGAAAAAAGTAGCTTGTTTTATAGTGGTAATGTTATTATAATGAAATATAAATCCCAACAAATAAATATGACGCAACTTCATTTTTAATTTCATAGCAAAAAATATCAATTTGATTTATTTTGACCGAAACAGTTATGAAAATAGTTGCCTCGCGCTGTTTAAAAAACTCCAGTGTTTTTCTTAGCTCGCATACTTAACTCTTGCCTAAGTTTCCGTGGTAAATTCGGTCTCTATTTACTTGCTTGCATTTTGTATTCCCCTTTCACTGATATTTATCCCAGATAAGCCAGGTATTTCTAATTTTTGAATGGCCAATTGTTGCAAACTGCTTCTAAATACGGATTAAATCTATAGAATCGGTGCGTGCGTAATCATCGGTTAAAAATTGAAGAAGAAATTTTTCCCTCTCTTCTTAAAATATATGAACGATTTTTTTATTCCAAAATACTCATTTGTTTTACTGATTTGTTTGCTTGCGCGGCAACAGTTTTGTTTTCCGTTCGTCCAACTTGGTTTAAATTAATTATTGGTGTCAATTGAAAAATTGAACATTTACTGAGGACGCTGTTACTATCTTAGTTCAAGCATAGCCTCCTTTCCCTGCTCCCAGTTCAAACAAAAATCAGTCATTTTGACCAACATGCAGTTGGTCCACATGCAGATGACAATTTACTCTTTTTCAAAATCAATTTAATCTTCATTAAATGGTCCTCCTTGAAACTTTGTGAGTGTAGAAAAAATTAAAACAGTTTAGTTAATTAGTTTTACAAAAATTTTGTTTTTTCCCCATATTCCAATTGGTTTTTGCTTTTTTTCTTTGACAGTTAATTTGTATAATCTGACCTTTCAAAGGGCTTTCAAAATAAACCCTACATGTGGCATTATTTGACTTGTGAGCGTCAACCTTGTCTCCTTGATTACTTTTTACACAAACCGACGACCGAGTTAATTTTCCCCAAGGCGAAATCGTATAGCCCATAAACTTCCTCAGATATTCGAGCACGGTCGAGATAACGTCTCAAGCTTTTTTTTTGAAGGATTTACGGAACTTGACTATTGTGCTTTATCTTGCTTGAGATATTTCAAAAATCAATGAAGTTAAAATTACTTTGAAGGTTTTCTGTTGAAAAAACGTGGAGATTTGTTCCAGTTTTGACCTGCTTTGACCACTAAAGCAAAACAATTATTCAAAGAAAGTGTCAGAGTATTTAGTTTGATACTTGGTTGGGGTGATTTGCCTGTTCAATTGAGATACCTGGCGCCGATTTCAAAATCTAAATTTGACTTGGGACTTCTGTGAGTTTATGCATTATTTGGACACAATTCTTTACTTCATTCAAAAGATTTGCGTCGCGGAGCACTAAATGTAACAGTCTCTCCATTTATGTTTTTCTATAACTTCCCCACACGGAACCTTTGTTACATTTGGCTTTTATATTATCTTCTACCTGCAAACTGCCATTTGTAATCAGTTATTTGCGTCAATTATTTAAAAAATTTGTTCATTCTATGTGTAAGCGTTTGAAACTAGAATATTTTAAAAATGAATGACTTGAATTTTGATTCCAATACTTCAATGGGGTCCCTGGATTCTAATGTCAACTCCTCAAACATGGGATCCCTGGATGCCGGATCAGGAGACGATACTAAAACCCCGACTGCAGATTTGGCCCACTGGATGGAGATTGTGTACGGCAGCATTCTCTCACTTCTCTTTCTGGTAACTATTTTGGTTTGAACTGATACCGATTAAAACAGAGTTCGATAAAAGTGACAAACGATAATTTTACAGACTCGAATTAGTGAATAGTAATGAAATCTCGCCTTTTCGCTCCTGACGAATATATTCTTCAAATTTGTGGTCTATGTCAATGTCTAATAGTTTCATTTTCAGTCGGGGGCTTCTTATTATCATAGTAGTCTCCAAATATTTTTTGTCACAAGTATCTTGTCAGCATTCAGAACATTTTTCAGCGGTAGCTTTTGATTCAGCTTTACATGAAAAAAGAAACTATAAGCAATAAAAAATGCGACCAAAGTAAATTCAGTAGATGACGTCATTAGAAAATGATGAACTTTTCCAGGTGATTGTGTCGAGCAGTGTTTTGGTGTTGCTTGTAGTGGTTACCAACTCCAAACTGCACAGTCTCCCGGGGTACTTGATGGCAGCACTAGGCATATGCGACCTCACTATGGGTACGATGTTGTACAGAACCTCCTTAAAACATGCCCCCCCTCCCCCTCCCCCTCTCTCTCCATTACAAAAAGTTTTTTTACTCGACTCAACATGCGTATATGCTAAGTAGTTATGGATTAGTTCAATATAGGGTTGAATTCAATATATTGTTGGAAGATACCATGGATGAGTGCTATTGAGGTACCATACTTTCGAGACAGTAGAAATGACTTAAGCAGAGACATCGACATTTGATTGAAACTTTTTGCTTGCGAACAAGTGGATTTCCACACTGGCATTTGTTTTGTTTTCAGAAAAGGAAACGAAAAGTTTTTGGGCCACTTTTAATTCAAACTTTTGCATAAAAACTCTATTTTATCCGTTTGCTTGACAAAAAAGATACCTAAAAATAGATTTGATCCATCAAAAAATCTGACTAGTCGTATAAAAGCATGAAAAATTACAAACTTGACTAGTTGTCATCGAAGACATTGCTCGACTAAATAACCTTGATAAATAAACATTTTTTCAGCTGTGACTTCTATAATCCCGTCTGTGCTGACTATCATCTGGGAAAAGTGGCTTTTCACAGAGACTGGGTGCTACATGCAGGCATACTGCCAGACATACCTGGGTCCCCTGGAAAGCAGCTTCATCATGTTCTGCGCCCTGGATCGCTTCAGTGCAATTCGATCCCCTCTTTTCTACAGCCAACTAGAGATATACGTATTAAGATACCTCAAGTTAATAATTCTTATAACTATACTTATTAACCTTCCGATTCCAACTGCGGCCGCTATAATAGCGAAGACGGTGAAGTTCAACCCTCGTTTTTCGCACTGTGTGTTCTCGTTCGACGGTCATTTTGTAGTGCCGTTTCTCAACTACGTGTTGCAGTATTTACTCCCCGGACTGGTGATCATCTTCTGCTACTCCTACATTGCAGTTGCTGCTTTTAGAAGCAAAAAAGAACACCTGAAGACACTCAAAAGCGTGAGTAATTGGTTTTATTCGGGAAAATTTCACGAGGGAAAAAACAGAACGTAACCACTAAGGGTCTCCTTGAAAACATTTAAGGGGACGGATCTTAAGCCATTGTCAAAAAAGGAAACTTATTGAAAAACCGATGCACTCCAACTAATTTTTGCGGTATTTGACTAAATGTCAATGTCAAAAATGAATCCGCTATTTTTTCAGTCAATTATTTTGAAGCAGTAATTGCTTCCGTTTTCTGACCAAATTTCCTTTTTTGAGAAATTTTGACTTTGAAAAAATGAGACAGCGATGATTAAGAGCAACAATCCGGATGAACAATTGCTCGTATCAGCGCTAAACTCTATGTGTTTTGAACGCTTTCAGCTTGGCTTAAATTTTTTCCTCAAAAAAGAATTATTATAAAATAATTTTGTTCCGCATCTCATTGGATAAACTTGTTGAGCTCTTCAGTCCTTAACCGACCTGCAATTATAATTTGCTCAAAAACCGGATTTTAAGTGGGGACGCTTTTTTTTCTCAGAGATTCGACCACCTGCCGACCCAAAGGGTTCCCCCTTTGTACTATTTTAGAATATCCACTTTTGGCTGACGGAGCCTAAAAATTTATACTAATTTTGAAGGCGCCAATATGTACTAATTTTGAGGGAGGAGCTTGGGCCGAAAAAACGTGATTTTTTGGTCAAAATTTCCCACAAAGTGCCTAAAAACAAAATTTCAAGAAAATTTGTCTAAAACCGGGTCTTTTGTCTTTTTAGTGTGCTTTGGCAGAGCTCGGAAAACCAATTTTGTCGACCTAAAAAAAAGTCGACAAAATTTGCTAAATTTTTTTGAACATCCGCCCCCTGAAATTTGAGCTGAAATTTTGATGAAATTTTTTTGAAAATATCGAGAAAATCCTAGATCCACCCCTGCACAAAATAAAAGCAAGAGCTGTAGAAAAAAAACGTTCAAAGAAGCAATGTTTTGAGAAACAACAACTAACTATCGTATTCAATTTTTTGGTAACCAATAAAATATATCAAAAAACAATACTAATAGTGTCCGAGTTGTTCTAAAAAGTCGCCGGATTACAATAAAAAACGTTATTTTCACCGACAAAAGATTATGAGAAGCTTTGTGATAAGCTTTACTTTTCAAACCGATAATTAATTTATATTCAGACTACGTTTTACTCCCGCAGACACGATTTATAATTATTTGAAAAAACTTCGGCAATTTGCAAAAAGTTTGAAATCAATTTGGAGCCACAAGTGCTGCCAATGAAAATCATTAACAACTTGATGGTAGAAAATTTTTTAAGAAAGTTTTTTCAATTGAAATTTTTTGAATTTTTTTGGCTTAATTCAATTATCACGGTAAAAATATCGGTACCATTCGTTTGCTTTTTGTGGAAATTTTTCAAAACTTCTCAAAATAAAACGAACAAGTTTTGTATTCAAAGTTTTGGCTTAAAATGGAAACATCGTTGACCATAAATTGTTGATACATCTAAAAACAAAAATATTTAACAATTTCAAAAAAATTCTTTTTAAAGAAGTAAAAACTTACTAGTGTGTCCAAAAGCCTTGCCCTTGCTCTGATAAAATTTTCAGTGCTTTCTGAGCCAAAGTAAATCGCGCGTTACTTCTCCCAATCTGGCAAACTTGGCGAAATTAAAACTTCTAATCCATAAAACATTCACAAAACAAAAAAGGATAACAAGAACAAATGAAAATATTTAAGAAAACTTTGAGTTCAGAACGTCAGTACCATTTATGTGGTAAAAAAGTGATCAAAGCAGTGATTAAAAAGTCAAAACTATTCGTCAGAAAACAAAAATAAAATAGCTTTTATAAGGGTAAAGCTCAAAATATTCTCACTGCCTTTTCAGGTGTCGCAAATAATTTTTTCTCTAACTTGTGAATAAAATTTTTATAACAAAAGTCAATCAAAAAACTTAAGATTTTTTTCTATACACATTCCCCAAACCCAATCCAAACTACAAAAATAAATATTTTGGTTCTACTGATACATGTCAAATTACTTTGCCGCATTTGCTACGCTCTAGAAGAAAATGGGAAGTATCCTAAACAAAGCAAACTCACAAACTGTTTGTTGTCAATCTTACTAAGGCCTTGAATGAGCTGTTTTTGAAGCTTGTCTTCGCGCCCGCTGTCTTCAAAAAAGACAAAAAATATTAACTAAACAATTTTGAGGAAAATTTTATATACATAATCAGCCATTTTCCCCAAATTAGCCATCTTCAACCCCGCAGAACTTCACAGTTCAAATCTGTGATTTCAAAGGTCGGAACAAAAACCACACCGACATCAATTATTTTTCCACTATCTTCGAGGGTTGTTTCAATAGATTAAGCTTTTAAAACTGTTTTGTAATTCACGGAGTCTAAAAAAAGTTGGCCTATGCTTGTGTCATCTCAAATAATTTTTGTTGCGTGACGCGACAATTCATAGGAGGCGACAAGTCGTAACAGGCGACAATTCATAACAGGCGACAAGTCGTAACGAGCAAAAATTTGTAACAGTAGGTTAAGCGGAGAACACTGATTCACGTCCAGTATTCCTCTCGTGCCAGATGTAAGCGCAGCGGAGCGAAGCGGAGCAAGCGTATCCTGCTTGCCGATGCCTTGTTACGAAATGTCGCGTTGTTATACGAATTTTTGCTTCTTACCTCTTTATCGCCTGTTACGAATTTTCGCCCTATCCTTTTGTTAATCTTCGTTTGGATCCAGAAAATTTTTCTTCTTATGGTTCGGGGTCCAGAAAAACTCCTTAGGAAATGGTATTTGAAAATGATTCATTCTTTTTGCAAAGACGTGAGTTATAGGCGGACATCATTTTTTGCATTTGATAGACCTTTATTATTACATAAGCATTGGAGATTATTAGAACAGTTTCAAAGCTCGGCTCATTTGCATATTGCCCTGATACAATTAGCTTTCTTTCAAAATGATTCCGGACATTTGTGAATCAGGCAACAGTGCCCTGGACGAAATTGCCTGGAATGCTGAAAAGTCCCCCTCCACACAAAACACCTCCAGACATGTGTTCCAAAATCTTCTACCGTGACATGGCAAAATTCTCGCCTGCTCGTGTGCTTAAGCACTTAGCGGCAACCATAACTAATCTAAATTTCAATGAAAAAAAAAACGAAATTATTTTGAACTGGGGTATTTTTTTTAAACAAACTTCCCAGGGAAGTGATAATTTTTCGCAATATTTTATCCGTGACACAAATGTCTATGCACTTCTTCCAAGGACCAATTCATGTCAATTAAAATTGCGAGTAATAACTCAATTGCAGACATATTTTAAGGCTGGCAAGCCTGCAGTAAACTATATCTTTACGAGAACTCAGCCATAAATTCTATGGCTGCCAATATCCATAGATTAGGTAATGGTGAACCCACATAAATCCAATAGAGTCTTTACGACTAGCAGAGATTTAGCACCTCAATGCGCACATGTTCCCAATCAAATCCCAAAGGGCCTATTTATTGTATCCAAAATAACGACCGAAAGGGTTTCTTGGAATCTATAGTTAGATCTGTTTCTTGTTTATTTTCACTTTTGAGAAATAACAATTTTAAGATTCGCAAAAACCTGCTTCACTGACTTTTGCGTTCTTATTGAGAAATATCTAGTTCTCAGGACAGATCCTGATAAGTTTCAAAGGTTGCTAATCAAAGAAAACAGTTTCAAGTTTTCCGAAGCTTATGAAAGGCTTTAATAAATATTAATCAAAGTTGAGCTTAAACGGATATATTTCGATGAGCTTATGATCGCTTGAATGGAATGAAGCTTATTCGTCTTTGTTGACTGAACAAAAGCTTTTAGCGGTGGAAAACCCTCAATGTCTTTGATTTTATGAGATCAACTTCCTCGCAAAAAAAACACAAAATGGCTCAAAAGAAGTTCTATAGAAAGACTTTCCCCAAGTCTAAAATGATCGGTTTGTGAGATCTCTTCAAAAACTGTTTGTGTTTCAAATGAAAGGTTCACTTTTGCCCAATATGAAAGATGGACCGCGTAATTGGGGAGGAACGCTGATCGTTTGTTTTTTAAGGAAAATAAGGTCGAATGAAGCCGATAGAGGCTTCTTCTTGTTAACATTCTTTCATTTATCATTTCAGAGGTATTAAGACTTTCAAAACATCTCCAAAAGTCATGATCAAAGAATTTTAACAAAAATTTTTAAATAAGAAAAACTTGTCAACTCTTCCTTGTCAAACTTGCTAAGGCGGCCTTGAATGAGCTTCTCTTGAAGCTTATCTTCGCGCCCATCGCCTCCAAAAAAGACAAAAATGTTAAAGAAAAATTTTTGAGGAAAATTATAAATACATAACTAGCCATTTTCCCCCAAATTAGCAATCTTTAACCCCGCATAACTTCCCGGCTCACATCTGTCACTTCAATGCTTGGAACAAAAACCACACTTGCAATAATTATATCTCCACGATCTTCGAATGTCGGTTCAATCTGTCAATTCTTTATTAATCACAAATTGGATAAAAGAGTCCCGAAATCAAAATCCTAGCTTTGAAACCATAATTTTTTGATACGTTGTCGCCGTCTTACTTTTTTGATTTTTGTGGATGGTGTCAATACCAGGTCATTGAAATACCACAAAAATGGCTAGTCGAGAGTCTGAATAAAAAAGCGTTTTTTTTCTGAATAAAAAAGCATCTGGTTTCTATTCTAGCATCAGGGCGAAGCCATGGTTATTGTGACCGTCTTTCAGGTATCTGCGTCAACTTTTTTCAGTAAAAAATATTAAAAAAAACTCATTATTTTTAAAGACTTTCTTTTTTCTTGTTAATCTTTGCACAAGCAATGTCAACTAGGATTTGATAGCCTTTCAAACAAATAAGCAGTCGTTTGAAATATTTCGCGCGCCTCAACTCATATTGGAAAAATTTAATTTGCCGTTTACGTTTTAACAGAACCAAATAAATTGCTCGCTATTCATTTTGCGTTGAACAAAATCATATCCGAATT